TATTCGATCTGGCTTACCAATACACACCTATGCAGACTTTTTCCTGGTCTTTAGGCTGTTTTTAAAATCATATTTGAAATCTTCGGTCTTCAGTACTGCTCATTTCGATGCACGCCACGCCCACTGTGGGCGAGGGCTCCGCTTAGCTAATGTGTGTTTTTACTTCTCGGGCAAGCACCTACCCATCCTGAAGATGACCCGGTCTTTCCAGATGGATCTTCAGATAGTAGTGGATTTCGTGACAGAACACAGGCTGATGGAGAGACGAGGCGCCTCATAGTAAGTAGGAAGTCATGACAAGTGAAGAAGCATCAATTTTAGACAGTATTGCCTCCTTTGTCCACTGCACAACAACGAGAATTTCAACCTCACGAGATATCGAGCTAATTTTTTGGAAGCTACGATATATAGATTTAAAATTGGCATAGTTTTGCGACCGCAATCTTCGAAAGAGTTGTACCCGATCAAGGGAGCAGGTTCCCAGCTTTCTCGTTGTCTGAGAGATATGTGACGTGCTCAATCGTTGGTATGTCTAGCGACTGCGATCACAATTAGCTCTTTTTCCGGGGTGATTTCTCATTAGCACCAATTTTTGCCTTGAGAACATAAGAAACGTTTCGTAGAGGTACCCTTTAACAGAAGGGGATTGTGTTAGTTCCCGAATTGGCCCTTGGTGATATGGCATCTCTGGCTATGGCTTGTTCCTCCGGCATTATAGATGCACAATTTGTCCTTCATGACAGCTATGAAAAGGCCTTCCGGAACGGGAGACATAAATTTTAGGGAGGCGGTGTGCACTTTCGGTGAGGCACGCACAGCTGGATTTCCATTTAAAATGCGGCAGCTTCCCATAAATCTTTTCAGGATTTCATCAGCAATTGAAGCAGTTTGCTATGTGGTCGATCAAAATTTTGGAATAGCCGATAAATTGTCTTAATATGTTATCTTGAAAGGTGCAAAATCAGAAAGAGGGTCATGGTTAATCTTTCCAGGAGGATACGCCATGCGCTGGACTTTCTTTCAGAATCGGGAGAGCTTATAGTTACAGTTTTGCTCCACCATGAAATCAGACATGTTCAGATCGAATTTTCTTCTTTTTTCGGGTCTTGCAAATCGAAATGGTAAGCAGGTAGGGCGACGGTCCAGCAAAATTCCGAAGAATTAAAAGTCTAAACTGGAAAGCGGAGGTTCCAGCGAGTTGACTTGGAATATTGAGATTTATTTGGTATTCTGTTTGAAGTGAAATGAGTTCAAATACAGAGAAAGCCTAGTGAACGCTTTCACACTCAGTTCTTACTTAGATGCTGCTGTGCTGGAAAAAATACGCTCGAATTTTTTAATTATTTCTCAAATTCACTCATGAAACTGGGTCGAGTAGTGCCAGTGACAAGCGGTCCGTTCTCGGGCGCATGGTCCGAGGATCAGTTCCCTTATCATGCGTCGTCAGGCCAACCAGGCCTTCCATCCCTCCAGAGTCGAACTGCTGTGAGATCTGACTTGTCTGTCAGAATGAAAACACTGCCTCGGGCGACTCTGGCCCTGCAAAGTAGTATAGGGCCTCATCGCATTCCTAATGCCACTACGATTCTGAGTGGATGTGGAATGCGTGGCGCATTCCAGAATTGGACTGATTGTCGTCGAACGCCTCATCCTCGGCTGATTGACTTCGAATGTTCTGACGTGCGGTCTCGGCCAACAGCGTCTAACCTCTGGCACGCATATAGTCCAGCATAGGTCTACTCGTCTTGCTATAACGGCTCTCGCGTTCAGGCTGGTCAGACATTAGCACTACTGGATTTTCCAAGTTACCATAGCGGTTTCCCGGGTCCAGAATTTGAGCATCCAGTAGAGATGCTCAAATTAAGCCAATTCTATTCTCTACTGTGCTTCTTGTCCGTTTTATTACGGAACCTGGATCTACTCCTTTGCAATACACCCACACATTGTGGTTCTACGACTTCTAATTGGAGTTAAGTTGAGTGCCGACCCATTCTAGATTGCATGCCGGATTGGCCTGTACAAACCCCCCTACCTTCTAATCCTCCTGACAGTCCTTTTTTTACTTCATCACAAACCTATTCTACGATATTTCCGGATGTGTTTTTTAGTCTTAATGAAATGAACCGACGGTACAGAAGCGCAAGCATCCCTGCTGAAACCGCATTGAATTAGGAATGCTCTGAAGGTCGGTAGGTTCACCCATGCGTGAGAACGATCTGGTCGTGGCGATCTCTAGCAGAGGTCGAAGATCGGATCCCTGCCCTACATGAATGTCAAAAATAGGACTATCGGACGGGTTGTGTGCGCTGTGTCTGGATCTTTTATTATAATGTTTATTCATAGTTGGCTAACAGTCACTATAGTTTTATAGATATGTCGGGCGACCTGAAAGTTGGCTGACCACGAGTAAACTTCTTAGGATCGCTTTCAAATGTAGCTACTTACATCGGTCTTCTTCGACAGAGAGGATTAGTTCCGAAGGAAACCTGGGTGCAGGCCGAAGGCGATTTCATTAACGACTGATGAAGCCACTGGGCGACTGCATAAAAACATCTACGGGGAAATTAATGAGGAAGTGACCACCAGCTGACTGAGGATACAAGCACCTCCTGCGAGCGCAAACAACAATTTGTGGAGTCAGAAAACGGAATATCATTGCGGCTATTTTATGGGAGGCAGTAATCGGAGCACAATTGATAGCAATCTCGACTGGTGATTGACCAGAAATTTTAGTATGCATCGCATCTTTGAATTCATGGCGATGTCGTAGAGAAATCTGATCTATCGAGAGCTTATGTTTAGCCCAGTCGCGACCGCGACATCGCGCATTAACAGGAAAGTCAGGAAATTTTTCTTCAATAAAATTTGAATAGATACAGATTTTCCCAGCTCAGGGCTGGCGTAAATGAATGGGGTTATGAAAATTGTTTCAGAAAGAAAAATGCCCGACACGGCAGCCACTGGTGATACATTGTCCGAGTCAGATCTTTTGGCAGCCAACCGTGGGCTGCCATTGTGTACATGTATTCTACCGTCTACCCTAGAGAAGTTTTGTTTGGGACTAATAACTGAGGGATGGCGGGTCCCTGGGTCTGTTGCATAGTGAATTCTCCTATGGTTCTCTTCTCCAGAGCTGTCGTTGTGCAGGTATTCATTGGATCTCAATGAATGTTGAAATTTATGGCCTTGGAGGATAGATTAAACAAAACCATCCTGACTGTATTGAGAATCCGCAAGTGGCTTCGTCATTTCCCCCCCCCCAAAGAGAGCATAGAATCTGCGATAGTTCTTAGCTATGCAAAAGATGGGTAGCTGAAGGCACCCGCATACAGTCTGCTTTCTGAATGTTATCTTGCCTGAATAAAATCCGAAGTTGCTAGGGTTGCTAGTGAAAACTTGCAAATTCTTCCCATTGAGAAGGGAAGTGGAATGCATGGCGCATCCCAAAGAAAGCTAGGCCCTATTTTTTTTTCATTCTAACCAATCATCATAGAGTATCATGCAAATTTCCAACGATTATCAGCGGAAGGATCGGGCATAAGAGTTCTGCTTTGTTGAGTTCATCAATGAGAAAGCTTGAAAACCCTACTGGAACTTTCGAACCTTCCGTCTCACATGTGGTTTCAATCTGAACCAGTGTAACATTGCAGAAAATGCATTACAGATCGCAGTGCGCTTTTTCAGGCCAATGCCAGCGTTTTTTGCTAATGCTCTACTTTCGGCAGTGTAGGCCTATAACACCACATCTGAGCGAAAATGGAGCGCATGGCGCACCCCACAGAAATGAACGAACATTCAGCTCTTCATTCTCGCCCTAATGAGGGGTGTTTATAGGTAGATTTTCCAGCATTATTTTCCTTTCCACTCGATCTTCATTCTGTAGTATTATTATTCCAGACTGGCTCCAGTGTTGCATACATCTATAAAGACAATCGATGAAATGAGGCTGATTCGAATTGTTTCCAGGCTCCATGTTCGTCTGTGGAGAGTACAGCAACGTTCTCGCTTATCTGATCTACTGGCTGGCACTTTGCCAAATCTTGGTCCGCAATAAGTACATTAGACCACGAGGGGGCTGTTGCCTATCGCGCCAGGGCGCGGACGTTCACTGCCTGCAATGTTCGCCCGCCGGCTGGCCGCACTCAGGGTGAGAACCTTGTTGTTCCCGTGGCTTGTTTTCGTACTTCTTATTGTTTACTCTGTCATCCACCCCCCATGAAAGCGTCACTTTTGTCTAAAGTTGGGTTAGTTAGCGGGGTAGGGTTTCTTCGGGTTTGAGGCTGGGTAGGCGCTGGGTTACCCATCATAGTTCTCGAAACGAGTCAGACTGTCCTACTTTTTCTTACTGGAATTGCACCGAATGTTTGCCTACTCTTCTCTTTTTTTTCTGCAGAAAGTAAACATCCAAAGAATCGATCGACGAAAGGTCATATTTAGCGCGCGCTATCTCTGAACTTTCTAGGGTCGATTGTTCGGCTGAAAACACAAGAGCTGTGAAAAAGGTGGCACGGTGACGTCCTATGGGTTCATTTAGCGCTCGCGCTACTACGCTCTACCTATGCGATCAAACTAGAACGTGTTTTTGACCGATAAGGCTGTAGCATGTACCGGCATTGATAAAGGCATCCTATTGCGAGACCGTGCGCCGGTTGCCGTTTTATCGCTCGTCACATGAAGGACAAAAATGTCGGTGACGTTAGTCTTCCATTTTACCCTATTTTAAGGTTTCTGAGCTATTTTTAGGTGCATTTTGAGTGTTTTCAATGTTGTTGTTGTTCTTTTGCGGAGACGATCGATAGTGTAGAAAGGCATTGCGGCCATCGATAGTTAGTCCATCATCACCACATGGCCAGTGGCGGAACAAGTCACGGCCGTATGGGAGATTATTTGTGAGCGAGACGGCAAACTGGAACAGAAAACGGGTTATTGGGCAGTTTTGGGGTTAATTAAAATGGCCTTAAAGTCTCAGGATCGGTACTTGAGTTTTACGTCATTGATCGCACATTTTTGCATTGAATTCTCGTTTCTCGCGGTTGGAAAATCCACAGCCATATCCGGAACTTGACTGATGAATGCTTCATTGCCCTCGTGACACTTCCCTTTTTCTCGCGAATCGATAAAGTACTTTCAAAGAACGACCACCTTATGCACTCTAGGCAGTTCCTGTTCCTTTCCCCATATGATGATCTCTGTTATTTGTTCAGTATACGGCACTGAGAAGCTCGGACGCGTTAAACCTTGGAAAAGAGTGTGGAAATAAGTTTCCTGGATGCCACGCTTCTATACAATTGGCAGTAGCAGAGAAGCCTTTGCTCAAAGCTCTTTTGCGCCAGTTTCATGTCCTTGCAATAGGCCAATGTGTTGAAGTGTTGTGTGTTCCCCCGCTCGACCCATTGGGAAGGCTGTAGCTGAGAAAATCCTCAAGCAGGTGAGCGTGCGTGCCTAGTAGGTAGAAAATGTGAAATGATGGGCACTTTGTCAGGCACCGCAGCTGGGCCCGTCGTTATTTCAGGCTTATTGTTAGCAGCACACCTGGACTCAGACGTCATCAGTGAGCGTCACGAATCACTTTCATAACGGTTTCTCATCGCCACATGTGGTGTTGCGTCCGCAATTACGTCAAGGTCCTGCTGTGAGAAACAGATTTTAGATTGTTGCGGGCAAACAGCATAGAACTGCGCTTTTTGTAAGAAATTCTGGTTCTAAAATGCATGCGTTACCATTCAGCACTCCGGAGTAATTACGTCTAAATCTCCCTTCTCTCCGCCACCTCTTCTCTTGAAGATTAGATGGGTTGCAGACCATGCTGTGTTGGTAAATTCACCTCTGACCAGTTCACTCCTGACCTTGACACTTTCAATGCGATCTTAAATGTCACCTCGGAATTCGAAATAAGACTGGCTTATCAAATTTCCATAGAAAACAGTAGGCCTAGTTCCTGCTCGCAGTATTGGTTCTCCTAGCTAACGAAGTGAAAATAAACCAATTCGCACTCAGGGGAGGTGGTACAGTGCGAGTGGTATTAATTTCGCACGCGCAGCTTCTAGGATCAAATCTGGTTCAAACCATTCTACGCCATTCGACGCGCTCCACCTCTTGGGGGTGATAATGGATCAAATTGCCTGCAAGATGGCGCGGCGCATCCTAAAAGTGTCTGATTGACTCTCCTTTGTCATTTTTGTCTTCAAGCTAATTAAATTAGACATTTGCAACCATTTCCGTTTGACTGCCTATTTGACAACAATATTTTTTAAAGGCAAGATTCGGGATTGAACTGATGGGTGATTCCACTCAAATGTGAAAGTAGGGATGGGAGGTGGACCGCCAGTGGAGAAAAAGAAAAGAAAATCACAGGAAATACGAGCATTTTGCTCTATGCTGCGGAGAAGTTCAAAAGGCAGGCAGGGAGATGAGAGATAATGTGAGCGCGGAGAGCGGTAGAGAAGTCGAGAAGAGAGAGCATAGCAGATCAACGTGGCGACGCAGACAAGATATCGAACGGTGGGCGGACCATGTTAAGTTTGGTGGAGTCTGTTAGAAGTCCATGGCGCCTAGGGTCCTAGTTTCGATGTAGAAAGGTGGCGCTACCTTTGCACTTGCGTACCCAGCACTTCTAGCCATGGTAAGGGCTTCTTAGGTGGGTCTGAGCCCGAACTTTGCCTTTAAGTGGTGATCCCAACCACTCAAAAGGATCCGCGTAGATCTCTGACAAGCTATAACTGGGTATCCATGCTTAGTAATCTTTTTGATGACTAATCCTGTTGCTTAGACCAATTTATAATTTTCTTTTAGCCCATTGATGGCAGCTGGTTGGCGGCCGCGGCCAACACCAAAGGAGGTGTCATCGCGTATCCGTCGTCGCCGTTAAAATCGCGACAGCAGTCACAGAGTGAGTTCTCTTGAGCAGTACTTCGAGTAGCACTATTTTTGTTGATATTTGCTTGGCATTCACAAATAGATCACTATTTCTTCGTTTATTCTTGGAATGAAGTATGAAGGGGTAGAGAGGGTAAATGAGGTTGAGGGCACTGGCATGAATCAGTCTGGCTCGATCTCGCTTGAAGCCAGTTTTTAATTCACGGAATATCGCTTGCTTTAGAGAACTGCGGTAAACATTGTTCTATGCAGATTGCATTCGCCCGAGTAATGGAGCGCTAACTTGCTTGTGTGGATTCCCATCGTTTGACGCGAATCTCGTTTTAAAGCGTGGGAAGCGGGGATATGTGGTGGAAGCAGGGCATGAGATCTTTTCTGTAGGTCTATGTGGATTAGGGCATCAGTATTGACCCGATCGCTCTCTATGAAGATGACGTGGTGGGATGCGGGATAAATAATGTTGGTGGAAGCCATGGGCATAGATACTTCTGTAAGGATCTCTCATTTCATTTATATGAGAGTGCACCTAAGAAGTTCAGTGAGTGACTGGAACAGGACGTTCTAGGCAACATTTTTATGCTAATAGAATTGGGCTTTATGTCTCGGCGATCTAAGCTTCCTCGAGACTTGAACCGAAGACGCGTAATTAGGGCTGCCATTTCTCTATATGCCGGAAACCCTGACACGAAATTTGGAACTGGAAGTGAAATTCCAGTGGTTGCTCTCCCTTCAGCTTTGGTTCCCTCGAATCCGCACTAACGTTTTAACGAGATGCTTCACAAGTGCCCCGAGTCCTTTAGGCCGCAAATCTTGTAAGCGTTTTCCTGTTTGCCGTCAAGTGAGCACTTTTTCAAGTGGGCGTTTCCTGAGGTATGGAGAAGTATTGGCAAATTTCGCTCGCAAAACAAGCTCGCAAATGTCGTGTCTCACAGAAGAATTAGGTTTCTACCGGAATAGGATGGGAGGGTTTTCGTAAGGCAGGCTGCTGAGTGATATGTGTTGAAATTGAGTCTCATGCTATACGAAGTTATTACGAATTTTGAATGCATCTGTTTATGCTATTGTCGGTGCGCCGGCGGAACTAGCGCAGAGGTACCTAAATGGCGCTGCTCATAATGGACTTGGCTCTGGGATCAAATTCTGGATAATAAACCGTCCGAGTAAACCGAGCCTTCCATCCTCTCAGAGTTTTTTAGGACCAGGGATGGCAAAATATTTTCCTTCTATAGCGGCTGAATCCGCAAGCCATTGCATAGACCAGATTGCATCCAAAATGCCACTATGATTTCGAAAGGGTAGTAGATGCGTGGCGTATCTCAAAAAGAGGCGCAATCACAAGATGCGGGGGCATTGTGGCGGCAGTGCATTCAAGCCGCGTAAAACATCTTTTTATTGCTAAAACGGGACAGGCCTAAAGTGGAGAAGAAGATGCCCCAGAATTAGTGAGCAATTTTTTCATTCTTCCAACGCTCCTGTCCTTCCTCTGCTTAGTCCTAGGGGATGCCCCGTATCTTGCGATAGCACCCAAGGATTAGATGTTGTAGAATCAGAAGAAATCAGTGGAATGCGTCGTAATGAAACTGCTGGCATGGGTCAGAATACACATGTTTGAACGCGCTTGTACCAGATCTCAGCAAGTATGTAACCACAATTCAACAGGAATGCACAGACAAAATGCCCCCGTATACTGCGATAGCTCCCAAAAAAGTTTGATTATCATCGAATGCTTTGCCTTCTTTGATGCTCCAATGACGATGCACACCATTTCGTCATGGCGGGTGCCTATCTCACATCCGAGTTATGCTTGTTGCTCCTCAATTACACATGCTCATCGGGCGGAAGTGGTGTAGTGGCAAGTGGCACGCTTACCACGCGAGCGGTCCGGGGATCAAATCCTGGGTCGTGAGTCGCCCGGGCCAACCAAGCCTTCCATCCCTCCGGGGTCGGTTAATTGGTACCAGACTTGTCTGGGAGGATAAAAACACTGACTTGTACATCGGCTGGCCCCCGCAAGTCATTGTATAGGCCACATCGCATTCAAACGCCACTACGAATGTACAAATGGAAGTAGAATGCGTGCCGCATCCCAAATATTTAACTTTAAATTTATGCTATACGAAGTTAAAAGCTATCAGTGCTTTCTTCCCGTTTCTTCTTATGTTTTCCATCTTTTTTGCTCCGAGTGGGTTTCCATTAGTTAGTTCTAAAAATGGTTCCGATGAGTTTCCTCATCATAAAAAAATGCAGGCTAATGCACTTCTGCCGAATTACGGGGTTTCTCGAAGAAAATCTGATTAAGCACCGAGTGCCTACAATAGCTGATTTAAACCCGAGCATAAATTTTCACTTGTTGGAGCTATGGCTCAGCCTCGTTCTCAGCCTTATTCTGAGCCAAGGCTAAGCGGATGGCTTAGAGTAGGACTGTACCGAGTTAAAACGTCTCAAATAATCTTTACAGATTTCTCGACTGCAAAACAATATGCCCCGTTGCCGAAGCTACCAGTGCCCGATCCGAGAACGACCCTGAATCACTTCTTGGAATTTGCTAAGCCATTGCAAACACAGCAGGAGTTCCAAGACACGGAAGCGGTATGTATAAGAAATGTTATCAAGCACGGTTGGCCAGCAATTTATCATGAATGGTCTGCACCATTTTCATATTCTCTCACAAAAACCTTGTCACCGGAAAGCGGGCTAATATTCCGGTCTTGGATGGGAAGGTTGCTATGGGGAATGAATGCATTCTTGGAGCCGACAGCGACTGTAGTTTACATCTCTATGAACCATGGTCACCGGACAGCAACAGTTCGACGTGAGCACTCTTGGTCACCTGTCCGCGGCCTCTCCGATTTCGCCCCCCCCCCTTTGGGTTAATGTTGTGGGGTGGGTATGAAAGATTCGCTTCGAAAGCGCGATGCTAAAGACAATTTTGTTAGGAAATGTGATTTTTTGGTTATTCTTGTTTCACAGTACCAATCCCTGGAAAGATTACACCCACTCAAGCAAGTCCAATGCAAAATTCCCACCTCGGGCTTTCTAGAAGCAGCAAAAACCGTTCTGTTCTATGACCCGGGCCATTGTTGACATAAGTTAAGGGGTCTAAAATACGGTAAATTCAAAGGGGAGGCGAATAACAGGGCCAGGGGCCGACTCTGTTTCTTGATTGCCTAGACGTCTATGGCATCTGTATGTATTCTCAGTTCGTTAAACAAAAGACAAATATGCTAGCGGTCTAAGCTAGGCGCCAACACATTTGGAACGAGTTGAGCATTTGGCTTTCATACGGAAAGTTGAGAAGCGTATTCGACATTTGCAACCTTCATGAGCAAGCATGGCACGAGTTTCACAAGCGAGTAGGGAACGAGACTTGCTATTAGGTAAAAGCTGTTTTTGAAACATTCGTTTATGGCGGAAATCATCTACCCAGACCTCTTGTTATAGGTTCGGTCGGTTATTTGGTAATCATCCCTGTCAAAGGACCGGTTAAAATTGACAATTCCTGGAGCTTCCAACTACACAACACGATTAATAGAGGCCAGCGATACGACTTAGGTTCAGCAACGGTTCACAGGATTGCATGGGGGGTACTCAATTGCGTATCGTCGCTGTTGCCCGAAAAAACGCCCGGAGAACAGAAGGCGCCGAAGAGATGGGCAAAAATAGAGCGTTCTTTTGTTCGCACCATTGGTTTTTCACTCATAAACAGGCGATCAGCTCAGAAGCGGGCGCCCCCCCCCCGAGTTGGAACGATTTTCGGCGCGCAACGCGGTGTCGCGTGACACTAGACAAAGCACACTCAATCGAGTTGCCTCCAGTGGTGCTGTACTCCGTCCAAAATTTCGCCAACTACACCAGTGGGCATGATTGTTTTGGGGGTCGGAGCGCTTTTCGAAGTGCGCTGCTGAGCTTCTTCCTCTATGCGTAATGGCCTTTATTTTTTTTATTTATGCTCGCAGTGGACAATTTGTGTCTTAGTTGTTCCATTTCTTAACTAGTTTGGAATTTCAGGTTGTAAAGAAATTCGCCGAAAACGAACTACCAACTCTACAGAAGCTACTTGAAGAACGTGCTTCAAAGTTGAACAATTGGGTATGTTGTCAAATCGATCTTCTAGTTCGAAAAATTTGCGCATCATTTGTTACTTATCCATTCGTGTTGCTTATGCGCTTCAACAAGCAGAAAAGCTGTTGGGGCATAAGCTGAGCCATCCGATTGCATGGCGCATGCACCGGTTACCATCCATTAGTGTAGAAAGAGCTCCAACTTGGGTTTGGTAAGAGCTTGTGGATTAACCAGATGTGAAAATTTGTGATATTTCTTCCGCAGGTAACTTCTGCGACGCTGGATCGTTCTTTTGCAGTAATGGAGATTTGTAAGCTTACTGTTAGTTGTTCGACCTGGGTGACATCCGACCTTGCCCCCTCCCATGTGGGTACGATTAATTTTTATCGGCCCCCTTCCATTGTGGGTACGATTAAGTTTTGGCAACCCAGCCACCACATACTACTGGCTTGCTACCATTAGACGCGTCCCGCGCCCGAGGATCTTTGCTTTCACGGGTTTTCATTTCATTTGCCTGGGTCGACCGGAGGGTTGAACGGCACTAGGCGGCCGCTAGAGTTGCGCATTCAGGCCCCACCGGTCGGCTCAAACCAGCCAAACTATTCTTCGCGAGGCGCGACAATGAGGAGCAGATTTTGGTCGGAGATCAGATTTATTTGCTTCACATGAACTGAATGCCATATCACACTCGTAACAGATCACATGCGCTTTCAAACATTGCCGCAATTCTGGGTAGGGAGTGAGCGTATGGCGCATACTGAAAATGAAAATTTTTGCGCTGTCGTTTCACCATTCTTCTGTGTTTGATTCCCAGGTTCGCACTCTTTTTTTATCTTACCTGTAAGAAAAGTGGAATATAAAGATGAGAAGTTACAATGAATTTTTAATTCAGGAGCATGTGTTTCGGTTGTTCGAGTGTTGTTTTAGGCAAGGACAGTGAGAGGGAATATCGGGAGAAAATATAGAAAAGACGCCACTACAGAAAACACCGAGGATGTTTTTTGAGCCGTCGCTTGGGTGTGACGCGCAAAGACAAGCAAGCGTTGCGAGGAGGGGAAACCCCAGAGCCCGTCGAACGAGAGGGCGCACAGACGTCGTGTATGCTGCGACTGGATGAGAATGGCAGCGGTCGCAGCGGTCAGTGACTGCATTCACTCTTTGTCGCGCGCTTTTAAGTCACAACAGTACCACCGGCCCTGTAATTAAGGGTCCTGCTACACTCGAGGACAAAAATTCTCGCAAGAAAAAATCGCGACCCGTGCCTATAACATTTTGCCTAGTGATTCAAATCAAATCGCAATGCATCTCCCTTCCAGCTCACACCATGGTGGTTGAAAGTAGCCTATCTGTAAACCACGTACACCACTCCCGATTGTCACGTCTCCCGGTATGCTTTACTGACATCATTGTGGGAGACCACGAGTTTGATCCTCTCACACCTCTTAGGTTTGATGTTCCCCGTGTTACCAACCAGCGGCAAGGACACTCAGATTGATCATGCCGCACAAATTACCCAAGCTGCTGTAGACTTAGCTAAAAAATTTATCAAGGTTATGATCAGTTTTTCAGTTTTCACTTCTTTCTACCTTCAGTTCCCTTTTGAACAAAGATCACTCGAAAATATACCAGCCCAGTTCAGGGAAGTACTACTACAAGCCTGAATAAAAGTGTAAAAAGGCGCAGTGTTGTTTTGTCTTTGTGGAGATGCGCCGATGCTCGCAGTTGCCACGTTTTTTCTCCCTAGAAGCGAATGATTTCTGTTTTCTTTTCAGGAACGAAATTCCTCAGGATATGGCTGGCAAGACGCCGTTTGATATGAGCCAGTACAAGTTTATGTATGGTACAACTCGTATTCCACGGAAAGAATGCGACGAGGTGGGTCATTTGCGTCATGGAGTGGAAGCAGGATGACATTAGTACTTGCGAAAAATAATTGAGAAATTTTATTGGGAAAAGAGTTTTGCTCTAAGTGAGTGTTTTTTAAGATGTACAACGACTCTGAATTTTCAATTTTTTTACAATCCTGTTCTGTGGGAATTCCACTTGAAGCTTAATAGCAGATTTGAAGGCACATTCCTCATAAGGAATGTGTGAGCTATTGCGCCCCGAAGATGAATTTAACGGTTCCATGAGAAAAGACGAGCTGTTAAAAGCTTTGAAGTATACTGTGCTTCACTAGGACGAGCGTGGTTTACGCTCCCATATTCTAACTGAATTCTGGGAGTACGGTAGAGATACCGCAATGGGATACATCGAAATGGAACCGCCAGAAGCGTGAGCGTTAGGGCGCTGCTACCATGAGATAAACGGTAAACGTGTTCGTAGGTTTTAGCAAATCTCCGTTTCGTTTTTTTTATGACTCCTAATTGTCGCATGCTTTCATTTTGGATTGTCATAACCAACAAATGTTGGTCATAGAATGAACTTTGGGACTTGATGTATTAGTTGGTTTCAAAAACAAGTTCATTCTCTTAGCACTGAGGAGTTACTCGTTTCAGATCCGATACGCGAATGCGCCAAATGAAAACCAATCGCAGAAGATATTGTAGTAATTCATAACGGTCACGTGAGTAACTCTTATTTTTATTCTTTTCCACTTTCGTTATATTAAAAATGTATGTGCATCAAAACAATTATAAATGCAAAAGGAAATCATCTGAAGTAGATGAATTTGTTGATAATTCCTTTGACTGAATGATTTTCCGTCCAGATATGTGTCGTTATGAGACCAAAAAATCCGGCCTTAAGTTCTTCACCATGTTTCATTCGAGCTTGTGAGCGTAATCCAGAGGCTAGAAGAAAATGAAGAACTCCTGAGAAGCCTCAGAGTCACTTTGTATCGGACTCTGTAGGCGCAAGTTTGCGTCCCTGTCCCTTAACCTGTCATTGGTTTTGCACACCTCGCGATAAGGTTGGGTGCGGGAATGATTCAAGGATAACCAAAGAGATTCACTTAGGCACGCGCTGGGGTTCTCTTACACCATTGCTGCAGATAACGATTTGAGCGATTTAGAAGACGTTGTCATTCAAGGAGACTAAGCAGAAAATCGCAAGGTGGTTTTCCCGGAATGGTAAAGGAATGTGACAAAGCTTGCGGCTGAAACATTGTGGTCAATTGCTCATTGAAAGTTGTAGAAGACTTGACGCGTAGACTCTAAAAGGATACTGTCAGAATTTTCAAATCATGAATAATTGAAAGAGGAGGGGTCGCATTTAGAGAAGCAGCAATGTTGGAGACGCGCCTGAAGGTGTAATGGGTATTGGTCAGGGTTCAGCTCCGACGGTGTGATACCAAGGGTCGTCACTTGCGCGCTGGAAGCTTGATGGTAGACGGCCGCTGAGCAAATGTGAGCTTCCTGACTGACACCTATGGCTGCGTATTTGGAGGTAGAATAGTGTGCGAAACAACGTGTGATGTGTACAGATATGTTGCATGTTTTCTATAAGGGATCATTTATTTATTTAACGGACATGCCAGTAATGCATGTGAAATAATAAATAAATAAATAAATAAATAAATAAATAAATAAATAAATAAATAAATAAATAAATAATAAATAAATAAGGGATCATTAGGGATGAGATTTTTTCAATCCCTTGTCACTTGTATTCTTCTTTTTCCTCGACTTATCCATAATCTGATCGATTATCATTTCTAGGGTATATTTTCTTCTTGGATATTTAGTCCTCAAAGATCACATATCAATGTTTTCAAAAATCAGGTTTGTTCAGATTTTTTCAATGCCTGTACTGAATGCGGCCGGTCAGCCGCTGTCCTTATCAGCGCTCTCCGGGCTTTTCAATGACGTTATCAAACAAAGTCGCGAAAGACAACCGCATGCTATCGGCATTGTTTCATCGGATAAGCGTGATCGTTGGGCAGAGATCTACGAACAACTCGAAGGTACGCGCTGCATGAGATTTTTCGACGAAATTCACTTTACATTAATATAATCAAGTGAAATGCTGAGATACTGATATATACAGCATGTACTTCTGAATTTCATTGGTTTAGGAAATCCCACGAACTCGTCACATCTTTCAACAATCGAAGATGCATTGTTTGTTGTATGTCTCGATCAGGAATCCGAACCTGAGAAAGGCTACACCGAGAAAGATGAACAGGCTAGACAGGCGAGTTTTTGGAAATGCGACAAAACTCGTAGTTGTATAGCAAAATAATCCTGGTTAGGGTAAACTATATGCTCTACATTGAAACACTTAGCCTATGATCTAAAGAAACTCAATCTAATTTATCTATAAATTCATCTACACCGTCAAATGAATTTGTTAGTTGTTGAGTAATTTGGTTTGATCTTTACTATTGAAATTTCAGTGTCTGCATGGAGGTGGAACGATGAGCAACTCGTGCAATAGATGGTTCGATAAAACTCTTCAGGTATGAAGCAAGGATAAACATTGGCTTCCATACCTCTCTCTGGTAGTTTTGTAAAAAAAAACTGGCCGGTCTGTGGCGCCGCGCGGCTGCTGTGCGTCATCTCTCTGGATATGACATTTTAGAGAATTCGAATGATTAGGAATTTCGTAAAGTTATCATATAATCACTTTGATAGTTTATAAAACGGTGATACTCATACAGTTCACTTCCAGTGATTGTGATATAAGGGATTCTGAAAGCGTAAAGATTCAATCATTTGATTCATTTCGAGGGCGAAGGTTGGGCCTCAACAGCACACACGTGGTCCACAAATCAAAAGCCTTTGTGCTTTTTGGCCAAATTGAGTTTTCCATCTTCATTTCATCGGTCGATGACCGATTAATTGGGAGTGTTCGCCTGAGAGAATATAACACCGACTTGTGCATTGGGTGCTCGCCCCTCGCCAAAATTCACTTTGAAGACCAAACACTTCTCCAACTGGCACGGCGATTTCTAATGGAAGTTGAGTGCGTGGCGCATCACAGTATGGATCGTCGCCAAACGGTCCACTATCTTTTTCAATAATTGAGATAGTCATTGTTGGGAACTTCAACTAACTATGAGTTTGGAAACTATGTTGCGGACTCCAGAATACCTACTTTGTACGAAATTCCGTAATATTTATTTCATCAACAAGTCGAATGTTCATCAATTTTGGGGCATTATGTGGAGTGACGACAAATTTTGACTTTGCAACTTATACATGATACCGTTTCCCTACAGTATGATGCGTAGATGAATGGCTGTCTTTCAGTTTGTGATTGGTGCTAATGGTGCATGTGGATTAACCTATGAGCATACACCTGCCGAAGGGCCACCAGTGGCGGCCATGATGGATTTTATCTGTGATAAGTTGTCAGTAAATATTGATCGTATTGATTTTTGGTATAAAGGGAAAATGGCGCATTGCGATTAGTTTTTTGTAGACTTGGAAAGGAATTCAATGATGACTCAAGCATAGCCGAAGGCAGAGTTAAGCGATTGGATTTTGAACTGAATGATGCCCAAATCGCTCAAATCAAAAAAAGTGGCAAGAAAATGGATAGGTAAGATTTCAACATGGCAACTTGTGGAATTTCTCCTAGAAACAGCTCACCTATTTTTCAGAGCAGCCGATGACGTTGATGTAGCGGTGTTCTCATACAAGCGATATGGTAAAAATTACCCAAAATCGGTAAACATCTCTCCGGATTCGTTCATTCAAATGGCATTTCAATTAGCATTCTTCAGGATTCATTCCGCATGTAAGTTACCAGGGACTTTTTGAATTCGCTTAGGAGTTTTTACTCCTATTCTTATCCTCTGAATTAGTAGACCTCTGAACAGTGGTGAAACAAGAGAGGTAGGTGGCGGGGGGGGGGCATCCTTGGACATTGCTCTCATCATAGATTCCGTTAGAGGCGTATTCCACGGTCGAGGGTTCTACTAATTGCGCTTTGAAATAGAAATTTCGCGAAGAAGGATCACCAGCAGCTGACCAGGAAGGTCTTTCAGGGCGTGACGAAGCTTTTTGAAAACGGTCTTTTGCATGATATAGGGGCAGCAGAACCATGTTTAATTTTTCCTGAACGGCCCTCTGAATACCAGAAAAGGGGGTCCCTAGTTCGATTCCTCTTGGTGACAAATTTTTGCATTTCGAGTTGACGTTCCAAAATTCGCGCAAAATGGAGTTCTGATTGTTCTGGTTCTAACTCCATTTTGCGCGAATTTTGGCACGTCAACTCGAAATGCAAAAATTTGTTACCACGAGGAATCGAACTAGGGACCTCCTTTTCTGGTATTCAGAGGGCCGTTCAGGAAAAATTGAACATGGTTCTGTGGTTCCCGCATCTGCCCCTATATCATGCAAAAGACCGTTTTCAAAAAGCTTGTCACGCCCTGAAAGACCTTCCTGGTTAGCGAGAAAAACTAAGTGGAATCGCCGCCTCTAGGTAGGAGCAGTCCCAGCTGAAGGAACATTGTGCGCAGTGGAGAGAGGATTAATGAAAGTGCACAGCGGCGAGCGAGGGCCAGACTTCTGACCGATTAGACTTTTATTGCGAATGATAGCTGCAGCAAGGGGTGAGCGGTTTCAGCGTAAGTGGTCAGGGCATAGTTCCCTGTAAGTCACCAGGTGACAGTCGCGCTTTCTCGGTGCGCGAGGATGTCGCCATTCCACCTCTGTTGCCGCAGAATTTATGGGCCTAATCAGATGCGCTTAGCGTCTGTCTAGCCTCGTAGGCGACATCCGATATTGACTGGTATGTTAATAGGCTCGAAAATGGCAGCAGAGGGCCAACATGGGACTTAAAGTATAAAGGATTAGAAGGGCGGAAAAAAAACCGTCCGGCCGGCCGCCCTTCCACCTCAACACTCCCCTTTGAACAATGGAGCGTTGTGGAAAAGAAGGATAAGGGTAGGAGGTACTGAGCTCCACGGAGAGGGAAAAGAATCGACAACGAGAGCGCATGGATAAGCGCGAGAGCGAGTTTAGCGTGTGCCGTCTTTTTTCGCTTTTAGGCTCAGTTATTACGAAATCTCTGCAGTGGGTGGAATCCCAGGTGTGAAAACCTAATGCACTAGCGCCTCTGTCCAAGGTTTCCTGCCGACAAGTCTTTACGACCCGCATGCTTGCCAACCTTTCTTGCGTTATTGTCAACCGGCTTCCTTCTTCTTTTTTTCCGATTTTTCAACCGAATTATTATCAGTGAACTAACATTTTTACAATGATTCACAGAGTGTTTTCGGGTGCCTGTCTTTTTCTTCGAGGGTAGCCGTGGTTTGACCGAATTTGCTGGTACCATAAATGTAGGCGAGGGGTTGCGGTTCCGCGCCCCTAGGTCATATACCTGGCACAACCATCTGTATTTGCGACAGTGATGAACTCGTCCGAGCCCTGCCCCTTTCCGTATAAAGGTGCTGCACCTACCCATTAAGCTTTAGAATTTTGCATCCATTCCAGTGCCGCCCACGTACGAAACGGCCACTTTGCGAAAGTTTGACGAGGGACGCACGGAAAACATCAGGTCGCCCAACACATTGGCTGAGAAATTCATTAGAAAGGTGAGACTTCCTTGAATTTCATCGCCATAAAAGCGTCAAGCTGACCTACAACGGCCATGGCGAATTCGGTGTGAGGCTTGAGCGGGGTATACGCATACAGTAGCGGTCAAAAGTGTTCGCCGAAACGATTTTTAGTGCATTATTTAGCAACGCCCTCCAAAGATTGATATACTATGTTTTCTAGTGTTTTTATATCCTCAAGTTTAAAGAATCAGGATATTCAAAAAAATTTTCGAGGCCACCATTGATTTTTTTCTGGCAAAAAAAGAGGAAGCACGGAAAACCGTTTCGGCGAACACTTTTGACCGCTACTGTACTTTATCTGCAGTAGAAGGTTTTTGTGAAATTAAGGGCAGAAGGCGATGGTACTAGAGCCCCCCCCCCTTCCCCGTAAAGCCCATTAGGCCATCAAAGTGACTCATAGGAAAGGGGTGATAACGCACTCCGCTGGCCATTCCAATCGATCCATAACACCGGAATCTCTGGAAGCTTTCGATCCAATGCTTAGCGAATCTCTTCTTAGAACTTATCACAAGGCAGCAGGACATCATCCTCGCTGTTTTTCAAAGAGAGTCTAACCAGGGAATGCTTTGAAGTTTCCATCGAATTTGGAAGGAAACCTAGATGTAACGATAGAGTTTTGAACGCTGATTACAAATATGGACACTAAAACTGCTACGTGAACTTCCTAAGAAAGTTATGAGCCTTCAAAGTTGGCAAAAAACGTTACTGAGGCGAGCTTACCTGGTGGAATCACAGTCGCCGTGGCTCTGCGCCAAAACGAGTCTCATATTCGTAATCAGGGCACCCATTTACCCTTATAGAACAAGTTCCAGGC